ATCACTGAGGGAGAGACAGAGGCACCGGGAGACTAAGTGATTTTCTCTGTGAACATTACACATGAATATGTGAGTGTGCAGGTTGGAAGGCGCATGGAGATCATCCAGATCAAGTCTGTTGTTCTGTATGGAGGTGGAGAGAGATGAGAGGGCACTGGGGTTGACATGGGTCTTGTTGGGCAGTCAACTGCTGACCCTGCATTAGTGACAGGTGTATGAAACCCCTGTCCCTCTCTCTTTTCTTCTATATTTATTCTTGTATGAATTCCCAGTAGGCAAATCTTGGAAAAAATTCTGTTTATGTCCTGTGTTGAGGTTTCTCCTCTTTCTCCTTTACTGCCTCATTCCTGGGTTCTAAAATTTTACCAATATCTCACTAAATTAGTTGAAACAATTTGAGCATTTTCTTATGTCCTACTTCCTTTGATGAGGTTCACACTAGAGGAAGAAATTCAATGCGGAGTTTGGCCCCTGATTATAGCCTATGGCTTAATTTATTTTAAGTAGTTTGAGGACTCCTGGATTGCATCATAATTCTCAGAGTCTGATCGCTTGCTAGGCTCCACATCAAAGCACAATCTTCAGGTTTTCTGATTTGGTCGCTTTTTTAATGGCTTATATTTGTGCAGTGCTACAAACCCAAGATTTAACACCATACAGAGTCACTGAAATTTCCTTTTTTTTGTTATCTTAAAAATTACCTGCTCTTTTCTATAACTCCCAGGACCGGCGGAGGCTTGGGCTCGAGGAAAAGTCAATCTTGGAATTGATTGGGAACTGTCGCCCTCAAGAGACACCTAATGTTAGAGGAGCGCTGACTTCTGAGCTGCTAATGAGCCTGGGAAATAATTAGCGTGTGGCTTCAGGAAGCATATGATCTCCTTTCAACCTGTGCCAGCTCCTCAGTTAGAAGGCAGGGTTAGATACTATCTTAGTTCCTTTCAGCTCCACTGCCAGAGTGGCTCAGCAGAGGGTGACCTGGACTTCATCCATCGGGGCCTGCAGTGAGACTCCGGCCGGGTGGTCACAGCCACGGGCCCTTCCTTGCTGAAAGTCGGGTCTGCAGGAGGGATCCAATGTTCCTTCTCAGTGCACATCTTTCAGACCAGAACATCTCCTTGAGTAATGGTCGATTTCCTCGGAGTGCTCACCTCGGGGTAAACTGGGGACGCTTGTGGTGTATTTGAAATTTCTCTGGCCCGAGTCCTTGTTCCAGCGTCCAGCGAGCTCCGCAGCCCCTCTGACCTGAGGCAGGTATTGTGACCAGAGGTCAGAGGCGAGGTCCAAGCAGCCGCAGGGGGCTGAGCAACCATTTTTCTTGAAGCCGGAGGAGTTCATTTCTAAAACAAAGAGGTTGATTTTGATAATTTTTTGAGGGTTGCAATGATTTAAATAGCTGAGTTTTGTTGTGGTAAAATGTACACAGAATAAAAATTTAAAACCCTTATCCTGTTGCGATTCTGCAAAGCACAATTTGGGAAACACTAACTCAAAGCTTGTTGCTGGAACAGAACTTCTATTTCTTCTGTCTGGGATTATAATGGGCAGACGACGCTCTCCTTTACGTTTTTCTCTAGCCATTGTCCGGATTGTGTCTCTATGCTCCGATGGGAATCCCCACAGCTTACCTGCGGTTGACTGCAGACCTTCGTATGCTGGCTGTGCCTTTCAGCACTGCTCCCCTTGTGTTTCCATGAATATAGGTGAGTGACACTGTGTGCGTGTGTGTGTCTGTGTGTGTGCGTGTCTGTGTGCATGTGTGTGGGTGTGTGCGCACCTGTGTACGTATTTGTGCATGTTTCTGTACATATGCATGTGTGTGCTTGCATGTGTGTGCATGTATGTGTGCGTGATGTGTGTGTGCATTGCATTGTGTGTGTGTGCATGTGTATATGTATGTGTGTTATTTCTTACCACTGTGACAAGTGAGTAGGGGTAGCTGAACGAGGAACAGATACAAAAGAGGTGGAGGTGTCAGAAGCAGAAAGCGAACTTTTCCAAAGGGACGGCAGACAGGAATGCCTCTTGTTGGGGAGGAAGCGTGTGAAAACAGGACTTCACGGGATTCTCCTCTTTCCCCGAATGTCTCGGGTTGTTTCTGTGTGTTCACCGTCATCTCTTTAATGGATGGAGAGTAGGCTGAGGTCAAGGTCAGACAAGCGCTATGTGTTTGGGTGGTAAAGTAAATACATCTTCTGATTGTAGCAAACGGTTGTTTAAGCCCTCTGCACTGATGATTTATGTGTGTCCCTTGGACCTAAGGAAGCTATAGATAGTTAGAGAGTGCAGGAGGGCTGGTTTAGCTGTCCCTCTCCAAATCCTAACGCTGCTGCTGTGTAACCTTAGGTAAGGTAATTCACTTCCCTGTTCTTTTTTCTCATGGATAAAGAGACTGATAACAGTTTTATCAATTTCATGTGTATATTGTGAAAGTTGAATATACTAAAATATGGACACCGCCTATAAAACCTGTGGCATAAGCACTTTGGAAATGCTAGCTATTTCTGTCACCAGAAAATTTAAGATACTAAAGATGTAAGAAATATATTAACATAATTTGAATACTGAGTAATATATTTTTCAGTAAAAGAGACAGAACATTTTATTTTTCTTTTTGTTACGCTGAGGATCAAACCAGGGCTTTACACACACCAGGCAAACATTGTGTCACTGAGCCGCATCCCAAACCCCGAGGCCATAGGTAGAGAAGCTGCACTTTTAAAGACGACAGACCAAAGACTGCATTTTAATTATACTTTAAAGTATTTTCTGTGTTCATAGAGTATAGTGTTTGATTACTCATGAAGCTTAAGAAAATGTATGTTGATCATTTTACTTATTCTTTTGTGAATTACCTGTTTAAAACCTTTGCTTATTTTCTTCCTGGTTGCATGCTTTTTAGAGATTTAAAGGATTGCTCATATATTAGGTTACTAAGCCTTTTCATAATACATATTTATATTTATATTTATATTTATATTTTAGTATTTTTCCCATCTTGGCTCCCTGTTTTAGTTTTTGCATAGTCAAATTCTAGCACTTATGTCAGAGGCCTAAAAACCTTCTGCCTCCATATTTTCATCACTAATTCTACTTCACGTCCTTCAGTGACTTTAATTTCCACTTGCAATCTTTGAACTTGGATTTATTGCAATGAGAATGAAAGATTAGGCATGAAATTTATTTTTCCCCCAGAGGATATACCAGTTGCTCTAACATCATCTTCTGAACAGTATGTCTTACTTACACTTTTTACATTAAATTCTCATACATGAATATATCAAAATTTTTGAATTTATATAATTATTCCTTAGCCAATATCAAACTGCTTCAAGTAAACACTTAAAATATCAGTAGCTGCAGGAAAACTAAGCCCACTAAGATTCTCTATTAGTGCATTTATATCCGTTGTAGATTATTTTTCTTGTAGGTAAATTTAGCATAATTTTGTGAAATTATAGATAAAAATTCCATTAGATTTCAGTTAAAGATGCATTTTTTTATAGTTCGTGGAGAATTCAAATTTATGGAGAAACAAATCATTATGTTGAATTTTGCTATGGAAAAGTTATGATTTTGTGATGTTTTGTGGTGATGTGGGTACTTTTCCATCAATACATGTTTTATGCCAATCATTTCCCCCAGTGTGAGCCTTCAGAGTTCATGGTTTTGTCTCTGTAAGCATTTCACATTTGAAGTGCTTTTATTTTTAAAATGTCTAACATCATACATGTAGTTTTTTGAATTTTTTTTACCATGTAATTACATTTGAACTTTTTTACTATTGCTACTTTAAAATTTAATATGTATGTTATTCTTCATTAACATGGATAAATTGTATGTATATGGGGTTCAGTGTCATATTTAAACTCATGCATTGTGAAATACTCTAGATGATAGGCTGGGAAAGTGTTAGTTTGAGAAAATCTTTTGACAACATACGTGCAAATTAAAATTATTTGCCAATTAAAACAAATTAGTAACAATGTGTTTCCGAAAAATTGTAGTATAAACAACTCAGGTATGTGGAGCATTAAGGGATAAATTTTGTAGCAGGGAATCAAATTGCTAAAATCTTTCCTCTTTATTTATTATGGATCATACGTGGCAATGGGGCACCTTCATCCAGAATGTGCCAAGTCACATGGTACTGGAGCGAGGGATGGGGTTGTGATCTGTGTTTTTTCTGTGCAATCAGGTAGGTATGCAGACATGTATGAGGTCTCGGGAAGTATTTACTCAAGGGAGGTGACTTAGAAATCCTCACTCTTGTCACTATATTCAGGCTGCCAACCTGGTACCATAGCAGGCAGCTGGCTCACCACGACGATGGGCTCCGGGGCCCCGCTGTAGAAGTTCAGGGTCTCTCAGTAATTTGAGCGGTGCAAGGTGTGTAGAGAGGGGAGTGATGGAGCAGAGCCAGCCAGCCGTTCCCCCAGAGAGCGAGTGTGCGTCAGGGAAACATAACTCACTGAAGCTCAAGCCGGGGGAAAGTGATGCAAGAAAATGGAAGAGCGGTGCAGCAGCCGGAAGAAGGCAGCAGAGCGCACCCAAGGAAGGAGAATCCTTAGTGAGGAGAGGGATCCCTGAGGCGCAGATGAACAAGACAAAGGGCCCAGGGGCAGGGGTTCCCAGCAGGAGAGGATGAGCCAAACAATGCAGATAATACAAATGTAAGTTATTCCCTGGATGACCAACACAATCCCGACTGTCTTGTGAATTAGACTCTTGCATGGAAGCTCAGACACACTGGTCCTGAGTTCCAAACCTCATCTTTTCTCTGTGATCTTATGCAGACAATACTGTCTCCAAAGCATCTTTTTCTAATAAAATTAGGATTTTCATCAATTAAAATAATACACAGTGTTGGGTCGCTAATATGTGATGCTGAGTGAGTGCCTCTCGGCTGAACGAAGGACTGAGTAATGAGTGCGTTGTAGACTGGTTTACACTCTGCAGAGTGAATCGGAGTTCTATTCTTTGCTGTTTTGCAGACTCAGCTCCTGGCGTGCAGCCCCGGTGAACCGAGTCCATGGCCAGCACCACTAACGTGACCGAGTTCGTCATCACCGGGCTCTTCCAGGACGCAGAGGTGCAGAGAGCGTGCTTCGTGCTCTTCCTCCCCGTGTACCTGGCCACGCTGGTAGGCAACGGCCTCATCGTCCTGACGGTCAGTGTCAGTGACAGCCTGCGCTCCCCCATGTACTTCTTCCTGGGCTACCTGTCCCTGGTGGAGATCTGCTACTCCTCCACAGTGGTCCCCAAGTTCATCGCGGATCTACTGTCCAAGATGAAAACCATCTCCTTCAAGGGCTGCCTGGCCCAGATCTTCTTCTTCCACTTCTTTGGGGTCTCTGAGATCCTCCTGCTGGTGGTGATGGCCTATGACCGCTACGTGGCCATCTGCAGACCTCTTCACTATGTGACCGTTATGAGTCGCCAACTGTGTCACATGCTGGTGGCTGGCTCCTGGCTGGGGGGCTTTTTTCACTCCTTAATTCAGATTCTGGTCACCATCCCTTTGCCCTTCTGTGGTCCCAATGTGATTGACCACTACTTCTGTGACCTCCAGCCATTGTTCAAGCTGGCCTGCACCGACACCTTTGTGGAGGGCGTCACTGTATTGGCCAACAGTGGATTAATTGCTCTGTGCTCCTTCCTCATCCTGCTGTGCTCCTATGTGGTGATCCTGGTCAGCTTGCGGAACCATTCTGCAGAGGGCAGGCGCAAAGCCCTCTCCACCTGTGCCTCTCACATCACGGTGGTCCTCCTGTTTTTCGGACCTGCCATCTTCCTCTACTTGCGTCCCGCCTCCACCTACACTGAGGACAAGCTGGTGGCTGTGTTCTACACGGTCATCACCCCCATGCTGAACCCCATTATCTACACACTCAGAAATACAGAGGTGAAAACCGCCATGAGGAAGTTGTGGAGCATAACAAAGCCAGGGCTGGGGTGAGGGGAAGACTAAGGGATGGGAAGTGGATTTGAAATAATAGTATGATTGCTGAAGTGCATTTTCCTTTCTGCAAGCTATTTAAGAATAGGATCAATCAATATAAGGATATAAGTTTATTAATGTGGCAATTCTTCTGCATAAACAGAGACCTCTTGGTCTCCTGAAATGTTATTCCAAGTACAGGGTCCAGGCAATCTCACTCAGTTTTGGGGACCTAACTGGCTTCCATGATAGCTAACAATATCGTGAGTTTGGGTAATTTGAAGGCTCAAACCCAGAGCAAATGCAAAGCATACTTTTAAAAATGCATTTGTCCATTCCTCAGTTGATGGACATTTGGGTTGTTTCTAAAATTTAGCTATTATAAATCATGTTGCTATAAACATGGGTGCACATATATTGCTGTGGTATGATGCTTTCAGTTCTGGTAAAATATCAGGAGGGGAATTTTTTTCTCCTTAAAATAAAAAGAATTAAATTAAATTAAATTTTTAAAAAAGATTTCAAAAAATGCATTTGTATTTTCATGAGGAAATAGTGATTATGCATAGTTATGGGTTACAGCATTATATTCTGACAGAAGTATAGAATGTGTAATGCTCAGATGAGGGTAATTAGCTTATCCTTCACCTCACACATTTATCATCTTTCTCTGTCAGGAAAGATTAGCATCTACTCTACTTGATATTGTGTGAATGTAGTAAATTGCTGTCACTTGTTCTGCTACAGGATACGACATCCCAATCCACTATCCCTAGACAACTGTCCCCAGCACAAAGCACAACATTTTGACAAATACTTTATAGGTTGGAATTACTTTTTCCTTGTTTGTCCCATTTATTTAGCCTCCTTCAAGGTAACCTATTTTATTAAGAAAGGAACCAAACAGATGAATAATCAGGGGACTTTTGAGGGTGAGGCTGCCAGTCTGACTTCCTCCTCTGATACAGAAGAGTGTGTCCTTGAAAATTAACTTCAGAATCATCCCATTTTCCTCAGTGGTTCTTGTAATCTTGCGCTACAGACCATCTGATCTTGTTGACCAGAAGGCTCCCTGGAACAATTTAGTTTCTGCAATGTGTTGGCACATGAGATTGTCTTTGGCAAAGAACATAATCATTATGTACTGTAAGTAGGTACTAACAAAAACTTAAAAATCAATAAGAGACAATATTTAGGCTTTTCCCCCAATGTCTGACATTGCTAACCAATGATAGAATGTAATCAAACCATATCATACGTACCTGGACTGGAACTATCAATAGGTGTGATGAAGTCAAAGTTTTCACAAAACAGAAAATTCCAGCCCTGTCCACACTCAGGAACACAGTGCTCACACACACCTGCTGTCCTTACTTGAAGCGTGTGGGTGGCACTGCCCACGTGTGTTTCCACCCCAGACCTCTGTCCCTCACCGTGAGTGACCAGGCCAAGTCCACCTGTTTGACTGCCTGTCACTATCTCTAGGTGAAGGGTGATGACACATTCGTGTCTGTGTTGCTCCTCTCAGAATCTCCACGTCACCCCGCTGTCCCACATCACTGCGCATACTTCAGAGGACATCACAGAATTGTCCCCCCATGGCTTTGAAATTGCATGGTTCCATTGAATTCGCATCACTTCAAAGCACATTTTTTGAGGAGCAGTTGAAATAATGCAGACAGCTTCCCAGGTAGAGATGGAGCATCCCCAGAATGATGCAGCCTTAGAGACTTTTCCCTGTCTCCTACGGGTGTTGGCTGAGCTTGCAGGTGAAACGTGGTTGTAAGGACAGCGGGAGCCTCCTCAATCCATTGGTCTCCTTTGATAGCATGGGCATCTGCAATTAATCCTTAAGGAAGTGTTGTCTTTTGTACCTGGAGTGACTTTAACTCATTTTCTATATGGCAAATCCTCGATATTTTGATTTGAGTTAAAATCCCCTCCACTATAAGGACTTGTGTAAACCTCTTTGTTTTCTATGGGCAGAACTGTAGATCCCTTCCATGGTCATTTCTCATTCACATGACGTTATTCCCCTGCTAGTTTGTACCTGTGTTTCTCCCTCATTCGTGTGTAAGCCTTCAAGGGCAGCCCTAGCCGCACCCCATCTTTGCAGCTCTCAGGGTCACACTCGCTCTTGCTGCTTCCTCAGTGAGTGCTACTCAGATAGGCTGTGATCCATCCCAGAGCTTCAAAGAGGTGAAAGCAGTTCGATCCTTTTCACCTTCTTTGTATTAAACATCTCTATAGCTTCATTGCTTTCAAATACTTAATGCATCACCCAGCACATTCTACCAGTACGTATGAATGAATATTTTTAAAACAGATGTTGATATAGTATAGACTCCTCATTGTCTTTTGTGCTGGATGCTTTTATATCCTGTTACTGTACCTCTAAAAGCATTTAATCCAGAATTAGACATGGTGGAGGTGCCTCCTGCTCTCTGCATTCCTTGCTTGCATCACAGCGCACTGGGAGTTTAGGACGCAGGCTGTGATGGGTCCCTAACTCATGTGCGGGGTCCCTAACTCATGTGTGGGTTCCCCAGTGAAACCAAACAGAACATCACAATAGGACCTTTCTTCATCCCCTTTCCCTGAATTCTCTCTCTCCTCCCTCCTAGCTTTTTTTCTGTATAAGAATGTTGTGTTTAGTTTCCATGCATCTGGATAATTTCTCTGTTTTCCTTTCTCACTGATTTCTAGTTTCATTGTGCTACCATTGATAACATGTATGGTATATTTTCAGTTCTGTTACATTTACTTAAACTTCTATTTGGTTGTTGTTGAGTGGAATATTCTGTAGGTATTTATTAAGTCCATTCCTTTGAAGGTTTTGTTCACGCCTGATATTTCTTTGTTGATTTTTTTGTCTAATAAATGGGTCTGTTTGTGGTTCTTCAGTATTGAAGTCCCCCTTATTGATTTTATTCATATCTGGTCTTTAATATTCAGTAAAATTCATTTTGTGAAGTGCATTCTGTTGGGGACCACTACAAAGTGGCTCTGAGCTGTATTTAATATTAACCAATTGGCTTTCCGTGTTTACTTGTGAGTTGTCTGAAGCTTCGGCAGCTTGTCTGCCACCCCAATTAACTACAAGGAGACTGTAGCTGCAGGCTCATTTCTGCTGTGAAGGCCTTCCTGGAGATAACACAGTTCTCCTAAATTAACATAATGTATTACTTGAAAAAAATCCTGCCCAGACTCCTGCCTTTTCTTGAGTATCCTCCTCCTTTGTTTGTAAACCAAATACATAGGGGCTACCCAGAGAAGTCTTGGGCTAAACTCAGAGAATGTCAAAGCTGTAAGAGTTAGTCCCTCCTGGAGCCCTGAAATCATTTCCATTGTCTCATTTATTTAAGCCTTGGCCGTCCACTCACTTGGGAGATTGCCGGCCTGATCAGCCTGCAATAACTAAGGGTTATTTAACCCGATATTCAATAGCATTCCATTGTTCAGTGCATGAATGTTAATAATCATTATCTCTTCCTGTTGGATTGTTTCCTTAATTAATAAGTAGTGACCTTTTTTGGCTCTTTTGATCAGTTTTGGTTCATGTCCATTTTGTCTAAATATAGAATAGGTACATCGGCCTTTTTTTTTTTTTTTCAGATTCCCATTACAAGGAATACTGCTTTTCATTCTTTGATTTTTAGTCTATGAGTTCCTTTTAGGGTTAAATGTGCTTCTTGTACACAGCATACTATTTGGTTTTGTTCCTTGATCCATTTTGCCAGTCTGCATCTTCTGATTGGGGAATTGAGGTCATCCACATTGAGAGCTGTTACTGATAGGTACTGACTCATTCCTGTCAGTGTCTCATTTTCCTGTTGCTGATTCCCTACTTTTCCCTTCTATTAACTGTTCATCATACCTGGTCTATCCATTCCTTTAGACCTTTTATCACTAAAATATAAATGTATATATGAATAGCTGCAATGACTGTATTGCTGATGTCAGATGGTGTATTGAAATGAACAGTTAATGATTACAACTTTTTATGTTCTGATTGATTGTGCACGCTTGTGTCTGGTGGTCTGGGCAACTGACTTGAAGGTAACAACATGCAATGGAATTACAATGGTGAACTCCTACCATCTTGTCTAGTGAAACCCTGTATTATCTCTACTGTTTTACTGAAGAATTATTTTTTTATTCCCTAAAAAAAAAAAAAAAAAAAAAAAAAACTATTAGCTTCACTGTCTATTTCTAAGATATCACTGAGAATTTTTGGGAGTGCTGGTTTAGTGGTCATGATTTCTTTAGGTCCTCTTTATCATGAAAAGATCCGAGTTCTCAAGCAATTTTTAAAGATAATTTTGCAGGACATATAAGCCTATATTGGAAATTGTTGTAATTTAGGGCTTGAGCCACTTTACTCCAAGCTCTCCTGGTCTTTAATGCTTGTGCTGTGAAGTCTGTTGTGATTCTAATGGGCTTTCCTTCATAAGCGATTTGTTAGTTTCTTCCAATCATTTTTAAGATTCTGTTCTTGTGCTGGACTTTGAGAATTTTGGGGGGTTTTTGGAGGCATTTTGTTGGTTTGTGTTTTCATGTTTCTTTTTTTTTTAATGTCAGAGCTTGTGGGTTGATGGTAGTGGAAGGTTTTGTTTCCAGCATTGAGGCCTCTAGTTAATAACTACTTTTACGCAGGGTCCTCTGGGCATGCTCAACTATTGGTCTTTGCCTCTGCCTGTAGGACCCAGCCACCTCCGTTTACTTGGCTGGGAGCTTACAGTGCATTTGTCCCAGTGCCCAATTCTCCAGGGATGGGCCATAATTTCACTAATTACCCCCAGGCAATCCAGATACTGACATCCCAAGAAAACCAGTTCATAGCAACAGCTACATTACCTTGGCTACAATAATAAAATTAGCATCACTTGTAGCACCAAAGACAACCTGAGCATTGGCAAACCCTGAAGATTAATAATATACTACCCTTACCCATAGAAAAGAGATCTGCAGTCGTAGTATGAACACTAGGACCAATCAAGTATTGTCCTACTATTGAG